TTCTACTAACCTACCGCTGGTGGTGCTACAATGACGCGAGCATTTCCTTTTGAAGATCCCGATGAAGCTGCTTTTCCAGCAATTGTTTTCTTGTGGTTTTTTGGAAATATTATTGGTGGTTTCGAAGAATCGTCCGTCTAAATTTATTGATTACAGTATGTTATCATTGTTAATATCAATGTTCAATCGTTCTCTTACCACATGATCATGACTTAGCAATATAAAATTGTCGAGGAACGATCTATGCGAAAAATTGAGTGTGTCGGAAGCTTTATTATAATCATTGAAATGCTCTTTTGACCTTGTCAACTTTTCTGAATTCTATCAATTTATAGAAATTTTTGAAATATTACATCATTTTTGGAGAAATTTTTTTCTTTGCTCGATTCATCAGGTGATGATGCACTTAGTGCAGCCATCATTCGCGATCTTATCGATAGATTTGGTGGTACCTTTGGTGTTGGTCGTATGTTTAGTTCTTCATTCTGTAAAATAATCAATTATTTAATTGATAACGAATACAAAATAAACTTTATATAAGATTAAAATTTGTGCTAATATCATTAGTAAAACAAGTTTACGCTAATATAATTAATAAAACTGATAACTATTCTGGATAATCTAATAGCTAATATAACATGGCAGTGTAGTAGTAATTTAGCAATGTATGATATCAGTCTTGAAAAAGATTTGAAAATATTTAGGGAACAATTAATTATTTAGTATCTTCCATACCAATTAAAATTGAACAATGAATTTTAATTCTATTTTCGATAATGACAAAAGCTATAGAAGTAATATGTCAAATGAAATAAGCGGAATAATTCAACGGTTTAATCATCATGAAATATTTCTAATAAATTTCTATACGCCATATTTAGCATATAGTTTTATACCACCTGTAAATGGTGGATTGGATGATTAGACCTTTTTGATGAATTAGTAAGATATAACATGTTGTTGTTGTTGTTCCTGTTCTTGTTGTTCTTGTTGTTCTTGTTCATGTTGTAGTTGTTGATCATTTTCTTGTTGTGATTGCTTGCCCGGTACAATTTGCTCTTTTGAATCACCAACTTTTTTAGCTGGACGAAGTCCAGCTGGTACAGAAAGACCATTATTGTTATTGATGAGAATAACTGTTATCATCAGGAATGAATAGAAACAAACAGCGTTGAGGTACATTGTCCTAGGTCACAACAGCATAGACGACCAATTTCTGCAATATCATTTCAACACCTTTTGACACAGTGGCCGTAATTTTTATATTTACAAAAAAAAAAAAAGAAAAACAACAAAACAAAGGAAAGAGGAGCAATAATAACAACAACAGGAAAAAAAAAAGGAAAATTGCAGGAAAAAAGATTTGTGCAAAGAAATATAGCAAATGATTAAGTGATAAATGAATAAATTTGAGGTGATTAATCTTTTTTTTTAAAAGTATCATTGATTGTTTTGGACTAATTTTTTAGATTTCATAAAATTTCAATTGGATAACTCAGCCTACAATATGTGTTGTATAATGTAATTGAAATATTCATTATGTATAAAAGCTTTATCTAATTTTTTTAAATGTTATATATAATTTAACTCAACTTAATATTTTTATAGGCTTCGCATAAATAGACGAAAAATTTTGTGCTCAATTTTCCCAAACATAATTATCATATAAATCATTTATAATCTCTTTGCAAAGAATTAACTAAATTAAAAAAAAAAAAAAAGAAACTTCATTATTAAACATTTCAGTCATTTGTTTTAAGTGAAAAAATTAGTGTAAAAGATAATGAAAATACGATAAAATGTATTTCTAATTATATTGGTAATCTTAATTGCAACTAAATTTGTAACATTAGGATAAACAAACACACAAATCAAATATAATGATAAAATTAAAATTAGTTTTAGGAGTAACAAATTTAGCACTGATATTTTCTGTCTTAATAAGTTTATCATTACTTAAGATGGAAGCGTAATTTGGAAGATCAGGTTGTTATTATCAGATTTATCAAAAGATTAGCAGAGATTATGGTACAAAATTAATTTATTCAATTTAGTTAAATTTGTTTCGAATCAATCTAATAACTTTGCATACGATCCTGAAATATCATTACATATAACAACTTCATTTCACATTTTATTTGCTTATCTAATAATTTTAAACTATTTTTATGCTTATCATTTTATTTTATCACTTTATCTTAAAACATCAATTAATCAATCATCATTTATTCTTTGGGACTAAAAAAAAAAGTGGTTCCTGATCTGATTTTGGGACTACAATTATTAGTTTAAAAGTTGAAATTTACAATCAACAATTGAATTACATTGAATCATTTATTTTAAGATAAACAGTAAATGTTATGAACTGTGATAAGAAAGACAAATGATTACTTATCCGTGATAAGATGAACATAATAAGATGGATATTCATAATAAGATGGATATTCACTATTATCCATTATATGATGGATTGAAATGAAATAGAGAGAAGATAAGAGAGAGAGAGAGAGAGAAAGAGGGAAGAAAGGAAAAGATATTAATTGTATACAAAATTCAAATTGCAGGAAAAAGGAAATGATAGAGAACATAAAATGATAGTGGTGGGTTGAGCAGTTCAGTCGATCAACCGACTGATGATCGTTTCTGTCTTAAAATTTGTTTGAAAATTTGTTTCATCGGTTGGCATGTGACCTAAAATGGCAACACATTTCAAAATCAATGTGTTCGAAATAGGCGTTTTTATAAAATCATCTCCTATCATTATCTTCCTCACCGTTCCCTTTTGTTTTCTACTGACAGTGTAGCTTCGAAACGTCAGTACAACTAATGCCATATATATAT